GTATCTCCCTGGTGGCCTGTTAAGATTGACAAGACAGCCTTGGCTGAGGCAGCAATGAGCTATCTGGTTATTCTACTAATTGGCTGAAATTTTCTCTGCTTGAGTCTTGGACTCATTAGTTCCTGCCTTGTGGTGCTTTTCTGGCTGACCTCATCAGGTATGATGGTTTTACTGGGATACAGTAATACAAATAAACCAAGATCTGCAACACAGAATATGCAAGCCACTGTTTTGCTATTTTACATTTCACTGCTAAAAAAAGAAAAAAAAAAAAGAAAAAAAATTTGAAGTATGTCTCAATAACCATGGAGAGCAGGATTGTGTGTGCTCTGGTGATTTAGGGGGTCTGAACCTGAATATTGTGATTAAGAGAGACAAGCACATCTTTATGGACTTGTTTGACTCTTCTGTGAATCACAGTAATTTTGACTTTCACACATCTCCCAAGTTTCTCAATGTGTTGCATACAAATTTATTCTCTCCTGTTATCCATTACTTTCTGTTCTTTTCATCAGTAATCCCCTAGTTCTTATATTTAAGACAGACTAGCCAATCATTATCCAGGATAGGTGTGCACCATGGATTTATACAATGGCATAATAATATTTCCTGTTTGGTCTTTTCTCTTTCTTGTTTTCCTAGGAAGGAAATGTAACACAGACATTGTAGACAGTCATTCTCCCACTGTCTCACAGGAGTCTGTGATGTGCTGAAAGAGCTCTAACCCCAGTCACACCTAGAGCTTTAGTGGTCACCTTCTGTACTGAAACACAGTGAGCACATCCTATGGCCGGTATTTCTAGACAATGAAAAACTGTCATTTAAAGTGTGAAAATGTAACACACACGCTAATTTACATATTGCAGATGGCATTCCAGCTGAAGAAAGAAATCCTTGAACTAGGGTTATGAGGCTTTAATCAAAACGAGCCTCTCTTGTGGAATAATTTCCAAGAACTGTAACTGTGAATTGTGTAATTATCACTGAGCTGATAATGTGTTGCTATATTCAACTTTGGCACTGTGTCAGTTTTTCCAGTGCTGCCTTTATCTTTTTTTTTTTCTCAGCTATCTCTGTTGTACTTTGAAAAACATCTGTAAATTTCTAGTGTGTACATCTTTGTCATTTGAACACCCCATTTCATGTAGCCCTATTTTCTCAGTACATTTTACTGTAGAGCTCCCAAGCACTTGAATTGCAATCACACTGGGAAGTCATCCCCCTAACATGCTACCTAATGACTAGAGCCTGACAGTGGTACCGTGCACTGTTATCTCCTACTTCACCATTCTGTGTTTCAGTTGTGGAGCTTTGGAGTTCTTTGATTTGATTTGTCACAGATGCCCTTCATTAATTTAACAGCTCACATCTCTGATGTTTGAGTTCTGGGAAAGATTAAGCAGGGCCAAGGACTTCAAAGGTGATCGTCAACCACATTCCATTAACACTAATTTCCATTAACATTTGTCAGTTGAAAAACTATGTCAAAGCTTCTCTTGCTTGAGGCTTGACTCCATTGCTGCCCCGTCCCCAGCCCAGGTGAGGATGCAGAGGCTATGTGGCAGTTCAGCTTTATGCTGACAGGTGCACACCTCACACTCACAGCAGCCACTTGAGGCTTCCAGTGGGCACCTGGGTGGACTGAGAGCAGCTGGTGATTAGTTAAGTCAGGATGGCTGAATTTACTGCTTCCTCAACTCTTGCTTCCATTCTCCTACAGGTGAGTTTCACCCCTGCTTGTACCATCATGTTACATGCTCCTGACCCCTGACAGCTTCAGTCCACCAGACCAGCTCAAACTCAAAACAGAACTCATTTATGCTATAGCAACTTCAAAGCAAATAAATAACCTAACAGCATCAATATAAAATAGTTTCAGGATCCTACCAAGCTCTCTTGCCATGGTGTGCATTTCCTTATAAATTGACAGCAACATTAATAGTTCATAATCTCATTTTCTCTGTAATTCAAATTCATTAAATGATTCATCCATGTTTCAAGAAACCAACTTCATGAGTTCCTAGACAAACCTGTTTTTGTCAGGTCACTGCTCTAAAGCAATTTCAGTGAAAACAGATGCATAATTCTAGCTGTTTCCTGAGAAATGAGACATCTCTATTGATTTATGTCCATGTGTTTGGTGATAGGTCAGTTGGCTTTTTAGAATGGATCAGAGCAGCATTCCCCCAAGTAGGGTTTTCAATATATCATCCAGCCACTGATTTCTATCAAAATTCCAGGAAATTTACATGCCAAATTTGCTTGACCTTGAACAGCAGCTTCCAGAGGGGTAAACGAGGGACAGATAGAGAAAGATGGCAGGCAGAACAAGCATACACATTTCAGTTCCAAAATATAAATATATATATATAAAGCATCTTCAACCAGAATAAACAGGATAAACAAAACTGATTAGAAAAATTAGTAACTACTACAAATGTTCCTGACTACAGATCAATGCCAACTCTTGAATAACATCCAATGATTTAATTCCTATTGAGTTTCTGTTACATAGCAGATCTCTTAGGGTACAAACTCCATGAACCCATGCCTTGGAATCAGTTTCTTGGCTATACCAGAACTTTTTTTTTATTTCACAGAATGAAAAGTAGAAAGAAGAAGAAGCAGGTGTGCGAGGTCATTGCAAAATTGCACAAATTAAGGTATAAATTAAAGCAATCACAAATAAGCTTAGTAACTATTTCAAGACTTGCTTGGTAAAAAGTGATTTTCTGGTTTACCTGAGAGGTGTGCGTGAAGAAATTTACATTAAATCAAAATGTAAGTCTCAAACAAGGCTATACACATATCAGTTTGCACCTATGCATTACTAGAAACTAGCCAAAGTTGAAGTGCCTCTGGTTTCCTGTGTGCACAATGATGGTATTTCCACCTTCCAAAAACTGAAATAAAACATGAAAACATGATAGATTTCTGAGTCTTTGAACAAGCCAATGCACATGTGTTGTGACAGAAGCAGCTGCCTAATAACTTCAGCCAAAGTTTCTCCAAGGCCATTGCCCCACTGGCACCACTCAGGCACCACCCTCTGAAGAGAGAAGATGCCTGACTCAGTCACATACAACAACAGCTGGTCTCTGCCAGGCTGGGACTGAACGAAGCCAGCTCCATCCCACCAGCTCCTGCTTCTGGCTCCCACATCATAGGGGTTACAACCTCCTCATCTGGGTCATTTGGTACAGACTTTTACCAAGCACAGAGGTACTCTGCAAGTGGATAGACATAGGAGCACTGGGTAACTATTTGTTAGCTGATGAACACAGCAGCTAGGGCTAACACACTACCAGGCTGAGTGCTAATATGCCCTGCAGCAAAAACCAGTGAGTATCTGAGGAGCCAGTTGTCGTGGGCAAGGCAGGGAAGAGGCATCCTGTGCTGCTCCTTGCAGAAGTCTGACTCTCCCAGCTGCTTAGCTGCTGTGCTCTGAGCCTCTGCCTCTGTTCTCTTCCTATGGTTTAAGGACATCAGTAGACTTCCCCTTGAATCTCTGAGCTGCAGGCTATTTCCATGGCAATAATTGCACATGCCTGTGGCTTCCACTCATTTGTGTCGTGGCTTCAGCTCAAGCACTTCCTCACAGCTTCCTCTGGCAGACATAGCCACATCAGGCCACAGCAAGAGCCTGAGCTGAGCCCTGAGTCATGGGGTGACAAACCTCTAAACCTCTGTGTGGAGGCTGTGCAAGCCTTTTCCTAAGGGGTCATGTGTGGATGAGAGCCTGCAGGCAGCTGCCCTCAGTCAGACTGTCCCCAGAAGGGCAAAAGGACCTGTGGTGAGTGACACCAGTGTGGGGCAGCTGCCTCAGCAGTGCTTTCCCACCCACTGTCACGTCCCACTCTGGTGGCTTGGACCCTCAATATCCCTCTCTCCACACTTGCTGTCATGCTTTGGTGTCAAGGAAAAACTTTGAGAGTGGCACAGCAATGCTCCAGGCTTGGGACACGAGGCTGGAAAGCTGTCAGGTGGAAAAGGGATGTTGGTCAGCAGTGACTGAAAATGAGCTAGGGTGTGCCCAGGTGGCCAAGAAGGCCAGTGGCATCCTGGCCTAGATAAGAAACAGTGTGGCCAGCAGGAGCAGGGCAGGCATTGTCCCCCCTGTACTCAGCACTGGTGAGGCCATACCTCGAGAGCTGTGTCAAATTCTGGGCCCCTCACCACAAGAAGGACATTGAGGGGCTGGAGGGTGTCCAGAGAAGGGCAACAGAGCTGGGGAAGGGTCTGGAGCACAACTCAGGTGAGGAGCAGCTGAAGGAGCTGGGGCTATTTAGCCTGAAAAAAAAGGAGTTTCAGTCGAGACCTTATTGCTCACCACCATTCCCTGAAAGGATGCTATAGCCAGGCAGGGATTGTCCCAGCTAAGAAGTAACAGGATGAGAGGAAGTGGGCTGAAGTTGCACCAGCCGAGGTTTAGATTGGACAGTGAGAAAAATGTCTTTACAGAAAAGGTGGTCCGGCACTGGAACAGGTTGGCCAGGGGAGTGGTGGAGTCACCATCCCTGAGGTGTTTAAAAGACACGCAACCGTGGCACTCAGGGACACGGTTTAGTGCTGGACTTGCCAGTGCTGGATAAAGGGTCGGACCTTGTGATCTTGGAAGCCTTTTCCATCCTAAACACGTCTTCGATTTAATGTTGCCTCAGAGCTGGGCAATGACTTCCATATTGCCCCTGTTTTTGCAGTGTTTTGTCATTTTATTTAGTTTTGCGCATTTTGTATATTTTTATTCCATTTTTGCCATAACGAGAGATTTTACTGCAGCACAGCCCGACTCCTGTGCAGCCTGACAGAAATCGGGAGGTTTGTCCCAGATTAGGAGCAGAGGGAAGTGATTCCTGAGCAGTTACCGCCCGCCCCGCCGTCCGCCCATCCGTCCTTCCGTCCATCCGTCCGTCAACCGCGGAACCAACGCGGGCTGCGCGCGCCGCCACCGCCCGCTCCCCGTTGGCCCAGCCCGGCCTGGGCGGGAGGAGCGGGCGGGGATGGAGGCCGCGGCGGGGCGGGGAATGGAGGCCGTGGCGCGGAGTTCGGAGCGGGCTGGGGCCGCCATGCGGAGCCGCGCCGAGGTGGACGCCACGCTGCAGACGGCCAAGCTGAACCCGGCGGAGCTGCTGCCGGCCGTGCACTGCCTCAGCTTCAGCCCGCAGGCCGGCGGCGGCGAGTGCTGCCTGCTGCAGCTGGAGCCGGGGCTCTGCGCCGAACTGGAGGCGGGGCGCAGGTACGGCGGGCGCGGGGCTGTCCCGGACACGGGGCTGTGTCCGCACTTCTGTGTTCTTCTGATGCGGTGGGCGTAACTGACCCTTAAATCCCTTAAACCTGTCTCAGTTACACTGGAAACGAAAAGCCATTTCCTTATAAGCAGCATAAGAAGCGTGTTTTGTTTTTTGGGGTGTTTTTTTTTTTTTTTTTTTTTTTCCCCTCTGTGTCTGTGTGGTGTTTTAGTTTTTTTGTTGGTTTGGGTTTTTTTTTTGTGGAAAGCTTTTTGCTGTGGAGACTTCTGAACAAAACTCAGAAGATGCTGGAATAGGCTCCCCAAAAAGTGGTCAGAGCACCAAGGCTGCTACAGCTCAAGAAGCAATTGCACAGCGCTCTCGGGCACCTGGTGTGATCCTTTGGGCCAGCCCAGGTGTGATCACCTGGTGTGATCCTTGTGGGTCACATCCAACTCGGGATATTCTATGATCAGAAATACAGGTTTAGAAAAGATATCATGCCTCTAAAAGAATCCTGCTGACTTTGAGATTTTCCTGTTAGACCTCTCGAGGCCTGATGGATGGCAGGGTGCCTACAAGTTAGAAAATTGGCAGGGAAGGATGTGCAGTATGGACGTGCGAATTGGCGGGGAAGGATGTGCAGTATGGACATGCAAATTGGCAGGAAGGATGTGCCCTTCTATGCATGGGCATGGGGTAGGATGGTTATGTGACGCCAAACTCTGAACCAAGAGCAGGTTCTATGCAAGGTTTTGATACTGTTTTAAATTTCTTCCTTTACTGCGATGCCAGTGACATAAGGAAAATCTCTGAAGTGATACAAAATGAGAAGTCCCTCTAAAGAAGGTAGTTCTCTGAGATGCATGTTAGTAAGCCCATTCCTATTTCATGCAATACTGATGAAGTATTATCTGTTAGAGGCCTGAATTATATTGATCCCTTGGGACACAGCTGAGCTTTGTTCATGGCAAACAAGAGAAGCATTTAATTGAATTGAATCTGAGCGCCTAAGTTAGTGTATGTAGCCTGGGAGGAACTGAATGTTCCCCTGTCGTGCTCCTGCTTTGGTATTATCAAGTCCTCATGCAGAATCTTTACTTCATCAAGCATGTGAGCTGAAGAGGGTGCTTTACATTGTCTCTTTGTCCAGAATTGTTCTAGAAGATTATTTTCTTTCCTGCTTGGAATTACTTGCAAGAAAATAGGTATTAATTATCTGAAGGGCTCTGCACAGTAAACACAATTTCTGTTTGCTTTCTTGTTTCACAGTGGGCCAGCTTCAGTCCTCATTAAAGAACAACTCTTTGTTATCTGATTTTTAAGATTAGTGAACTAGTTCACACATTAAGCATCACTTCAGCAGTGTTTTAGGGGGGTTGAGAGAATTGGTGTATGACTATAGGCATTCAACTGTGTTCTGCATGAAAACTTGGAATGCTTGTCTTTTGAGTTCCCACACTAAAAGGAGAGGGAAGAACACAGTCAATTAGATTAATTTACTTTTTTTGGTGAACTGTGACTGCTGCTACCAAACAGAACTGCAGTTTGTAATTTCTTTACAAATGTATGAATGTGAGAAAATATCAGACAAGTTTAATAAGAGTTCATCTGAAACAGAGGTAAAAATGCATCATTATTTCATGATTTCATGATTTCATAATTGGTTTTTTTTTTCAGCCTAATAATTCGTGGTGAAAAGGATGAACATGCAGTGTTGTGCAGCAAAGATAAAACTTATGACATGAAAATAGCAGATACCTCAAATATGCTGCTGTTTGTTCCTGGTTGCAAAACTCCAGAGGAACTGAAAGCAGATCAGGCATCTTGTAATATTATTCATTCACAGGTATGTCTTTCAGGGTTTTATTTGTTTGCTTTAATTTTGTTCTTTCTTATTCTCTGTAATTTCTTGTATTTTGTCCAAGATGCATATGTGAAACCCAGCTGACATTCAGTTGCCTAAACACAGACTTCTAACGCCATTTTAGATGCCCTGTGGTATTGCTTAGCCACTATTGCAGACTGCCACTGGAGAAAGGACGAGTCTCCTGTAGCTTCTTTGTGTACTGACCAGTTCCAAGAGGATGTATTTATAAATGTGTTTTTTATACAGGGCCATGCTATGCCTTAGGGTGTCCAAAATGGCTTTAGAGCCTTTCTTCAGGCAGTTGAACTTTCTCTGTAATGTATGGTTATTATTTCAGAGAAGTTAAAACTGTGCTTTATTTTCATTGCATAGTAATTACTTGTGGTAGGTATTAAAAGCTTGCAAAGAAAATATAATTTCTCAGTGTTAGCAACTGTTTTTAAAGTAAGCTATTTACAGGTTGATTTTTAGGAGTGCTTTTCCCAAAAGGGAGATTTTACAATCTTGTATCTGAATACTATTTTTTAAATATAGAAATGTATTCTAAGGTGGCTCTTTCAATTAGTGTATCAAAACATTTGTCAAAGTGAATGAATTTAGAGTTCTCAGTTTAAGAATTCATTGTTCTGTGCCCTCCTGAAGCGTAGTTAATAAAATTCTATTAAAAATAGCTAGGCAAACATTATTAGTTAATTATTTTCTGTAATGGACATAATGGCATCATTGAGGAATAATCCTACTTCAACATCAGTTCTTCCATGAGGTCTAATGAGCTAATGTAAAAAGTTAATTCAAGCTGAAGTAGATTAATAAGAAAGTAATATTCTTTCATATACTTTTTTTTTTCTTGCTACATTTAATTGTTTCACTATTCCTGTGAAGTTACACATCATAGAAATGTGATTTGCTTAGGAGTTATTTTAAAAGTTTTATTTCTAAGAGCTCTCAAAATTATATCAAAAATGTAAGATGGTCCATTAACACTGCAAATTGTGAAACATAGCAAAAGATACTATGTGTACTCAGTACTTTGGGGCTTCACTGCTCTTCACTTGCTGCCTTGGTGCTGATCTTTGTATCACTTTCACAGCTGATACAGCCAAAGCATTTGCCATTTTATTCACCTCACAGAGCTTATCTCAGGTTATGAGCTTTGGAATATTAATTAGAATTATTTATTTCCTTTTCTATGCAGAGTATCTTCTTATTACCAAAATGATCAGAAAACAACTTGGCAGGAAAAAACCTAGCACTTAAGTAAATGCTAATTGACATGAAGCTTGGAAGTTTGTCAGGAAGTTGGTGTTTAGCTGAAATTTTTGCCAAGCCAGTTATGTAATAGATTAAAATTGACAGATTTCTGTGTATTAGAATTTGTATACAATTACTTCTATATATAGGTGGTTTTGCTTATAGTTGATTTAAATGGAAAATGATTTTAAGGCTTTAGTTGTTGTTTTTGGTTTTTTTTAATGGAGGACTTCTAAAATACCTCAAGTACACCAGTAAAGCACTTAGGGTATTTTAAAGCACTGTCTAGAGGCTTTTTCATAGAAGCTGTTTTTACATGGGACTGGTGATTGGGTCAGGAGTCACTAAGCTGGAGCCTGTTCTGCCTCTGCAATTCTGTTCCCATTTCTGTTGGTTTAGTAAATAGTAGAAATGATGCTGAAAGGCCTCCAATAGTCTGGCCTCTTCCAAGAATCTTGCAGTAAGTCAAAGCTGTACCCTGTGAAGCATCTCAGGATTACTCTGAAAGTAAAGCTTTGGTAAGTCGGTGCTGTTGAATCATGAACAGCCAAACTTCCTGTTGCACACTCCTCATTCTTGTGTTGACTCAGGGAGAGGAACAGAGATGTCTTGTCAGTTGTGTGCAAGTGTAGCTTTCTGTCCTTGTTACTGTCTGCTTTGCTTGAGCTTAGGACTATGGTGATTCATTAAAAAGACCATGAAGTAGATCCCAAGCTTGGGAAGAAGTGGGGAAGATAGACACAGGTTAATACAGGAAGGCTTTTCTGGCAGTAACACAATTTACTGTTAAGGCAAAAAGCAGTTTTGAGGGAAATTGTGCAGAAATATATCCTGTGGTGATTTCCTGTCATTTGCAGGCAGAGTTGAGTTGTTACCTTTGTCTTATGCACTACAAAGATATATTTTATCAATCAGCTGTGGATTTTTATTCTTCATTGTCTGTAGTAATTTTTTTATTGAAAACATTGGAATGATTGTTTTATCTTTAAAGTAATTACCCTATTAATAGTTACTTGTTTTCAATGACTGGGTTAACACTGCTTGCTGATAATTTTTGGTAAGCAGCTTTGAATCCAGATGCTACATTAAAATGTTTAAAGAGTTGCTGTTTTCTCTTGTAGATTGCTGGTTTCTCCAAAAACTATTGGGAATTAAGGAGATGTCGACCAAAACTGAAGAAACTGAGGACGCTTTTAATGGAAGATCCATATGAAGGGCCTGATAGTCAGAAAGATCAGACTTCAACATTTTCAAAGGTAAATCAGCTGTGTAAATTGCTTTCTTGTAATTGGTAATGAGCAAATTAAAATGAAGATACATCCTTAAGTAGAAAAATCCCTTTTCTCATGTGATTCACAGTGCTTCTTTGAGTTAATTTTTTAACTCTTCTATTCTAAACAAGTTGATTGTTAATAGCACTTCCAGTGAGTACAGGTAAGCAGCCTTTTTATTAGTTAAAATGAAGGACATGGAAGGAGACTGGGCATTTTCCTTTTCCTGTGGGAAGTTTCTTGGAGCACAACCTTCAGAATCTTTTCTAAATTCCTTGAGGGTTACATGACTACTAAGGTATAGTGCAGCCTTTCCTTCTTTGTGTCTGCCACGTATGAGGTCAGCGCACACCATGTGCAGATTGCTTGCTAATCAGTAATTGGTGATGACAAGGAGAAGAAGGGAGTTGAAGAGAGTAACAGGATTATCTAAGGCATGGAATAAGACACACTAAAAGAAGGAAAAACACAAATGAAATCCCGTCCTGCTGTCTTACAGTGTTTCCAGGAAATTCATTTTGGGACCTAAAGAGTAATGGGGAGACCTGGACTGTGCAGCATATGATCTCAGCTAAAAGGCCGATAAAAATTCTGGGGCTTTGTTAGCTTGGTTGGTTTTCCTTTTGACTTGAAGACCAAAAAGTAGTTGTTCCCAAGTATTTTATGCTGAGGCATGATTGAAGCTGACACCACCAAACCATCTGCATGTGTTCAGATGTGCAAACACAGATGTTACTTTTCTCTGGAGAGACAGGATGCTTCTCTCTTCCTGGATGATTAACAGGCTGATTTCTGATCGGTTACAGAATCTTGCCCCCAGAATTGCCTACCTGTGCTGTTCTAGGCATAGCAGGACATACAGCAAAATAAGGGATGGCAAAGGTTCAAGGGCTTAAATTGTCTGAAAATTATAAGCATTGTCAAAAGCTAGCAACATGAAAAAGTCATATGAAATAGTGTTTATTCATAATATTGAGTATTATTAAAAAGGTGTCAGTGTCTCCCAAACATTAATGACTGATTTGAGGATTGATCACCATTTATTTTTGAAGGAGAATGCATTTCCTCTATGAGCTTACTGAGTAACAACAACTAGGTATATCTGATAAATGCAGACAAGTGTTAACCTTGCCTCTGGTGGAACTCCTCAATGAATCTGAAAGCTCTCCAGGGGAAAACTCTTTCCTGTGGGACTAATTTTCTCTGAAATCCCAAACAGTGTATGTGTAGTAATGATTTCCATTGTTTTGTTTGCTTACACTTAATATTTATTGTGTGCTGGGAAACCTTAGAAAATTCAGTCTGTCTTATCTGTCTTAAGTCTTTCCTTCATTATAGCTTATAATGCATTTAGTATGGTCACTGAAGCAAAGAAGAAGTAAGAAAACCTCTTTTATTTCCTTTATTTTTCCCTTGTTGCAGTATACAACAGAAGATTTGTTAAATCTGATTCAAGCAAGTGAGGAAGAAATACTCCACCAATTGCAGGTCATAGATGCCTGCAAAATCAAAGGTATTTGTATCTAAAGAATATTCTTACCTATGAGGAAATAGCCCTCCTATTTTCCCCAAAATACATGTCTCCCTTTTTTAAGGCCTATTCTATATCCTTGTCTTTCAAGGTGCAAGTTACTTTAAAGTTCTAAGACTTGTTCCCATAGATCCATGTCCTCTGCTGCTGTGGATCTGCTCAGAAGGATGAAGCTGAGCAGGCACTGCCAGTCTCTCTCTTTCAGGATAACTCCTTTGCTGCTACAAACACTGGCATCAGAGTATCCCACCCACAGCATGAATATTTTTTAGCTGGTCGACCTCTTCATGACTGAGTGGGTGCTGCTTTCTGTAGTTCTAGAGGCAAAAATAGCTGATTCTTAGGGAGCCCCATCCTTTTCATAGTTCTTTCTTCCTCCTGGACTTGGTTTATCTCAGTGTCTTCCTACCATGTGAGGGAAGGCTGGAGCAATGCCTCACCTTGGGACAGGTCCTATTCATCCTTTACTTGGCCATGCCCAAACATTCAGTAGCACACAAGTTGATGGCTGTCCTAGAGTCATCTGGATTTCTGGATTTTTGTGAACTTCTCTGGACCTGAGCTGTTGCTTTGCAGGGCCAGTGCAGCCCATCCTGTTCATGCAGTTCCGTTCCAGAACTAAGCATTAGTTCTTCCACATCTTGGAGTGATATTTTCAGTGTCTTTGTATCTGTGGCAGTTAAAGAATTACTAAAGAATTCCAAACAGTTGAGATAATTAAGTTTCATTCTCCTTTACATATGCTCTTATTATTTAGTTCCTTTTCTGAGCTTTTAATCCTGAAAAGAACACAATGGTACTGCGTATTATAAAGGTGTGACCTGAATGTCCAGACTCCAGTAATGTATCTTAATGGCAATAGAATTAAGGTGTTAATGTTTTCCTTCTAACAGTGTTCTGTGGTGCTCTGTTTGGCAGGATATTGGAGAATTCTAGACTTTGACTATGAGATGAAACTCTTGAATCATGTGACTCAGCTAATAGACTCAGAGTCCTGGCCTTTGAGTAAGGTTCCTCTCTGTGCCTGCCTTGAAGAACTTGGATCTCTAGAACCCAGGTAAACAATTATTTTAGTACTTAAAATTGCCTACATTCATTATTAACTATGTGTAATTACAGTACTTGTTAACGGTCTATTAGAATTATAGTCTTGAAAATCAGGATTCTACTTACTGTGATATAAATGATACATTTTCTTTGTTTCTAAAAATACTCAAGGGAATTTTTAGACCGGTTAGTAAACTGATTTTGGTGTTTATTGTTAGTATTTTCATTGATCCACAGTAGAAACATTACTGCTGAGTTGTAAATGATGGAAGGAGCATGTACTTAAGTTGTAAATTGCTGAGCATCTTGAAATAGTTGTTCTGAAGCTATAGCTAGCCAAAAATGTTTGGTTTACCTGTTGCATACTAGCTGAGAGGATGTATGTTTTCTGGTGTAATTCAAAAGTACCATTCAAAGAAAGTCTTAAGTTTACAATATGTAGCATTTTCCATTTAATTGCATTTTGGCTCAAAAAGATATCTGCAGTTAGGCTATAATTTATGACAGAGCTACAGAAAAGTGCCTATTATTCAGTAAGGGATAATTAATTGCCAAATTTTTGACTTGCATCATAGGATCGTTAAGACTGGTAAAAAACATTAGGATCATTGAGTCCAGCCATTACCACACCACTGCCAAGTCCAGGACTGAACCATGTCCCTAAGTGCCAAATCTACGTGTCTTTTAAACACCTCCAGGGATGGTGACTCCACCACGTCCCTGGGCAACCTGTTCCAGTGCTTGAGAAAGATTTCTTCATGGAAAGCATTCTTATATCCAGTCTAAATATGTCAGGCCATTTCTTCTGATCCTGTCACTTGTTACCTGGCGGGGAAGAGACCGACCCCCACTGGCTACAGCCTCCTCTCAGGGAGCTGTAGGGAGTGACAAGGTCCCCCCTGGGCCTCCTTTTCTCCAGGCCAAACACCCCCAGCTCCCTCAGCTGCTCCTCACCTGAGTTGTGCTCCAGACCCTTCCCCAGCTCTGTTGCCCTTCTCTGGACACACTCCAGCCCCTCAATGTCCTTCAGTTCTGGTCTGAGGGACCCAGAACTGGACACAGGGTTTGAGGTGCATCCTCACCAGTGCTGAGGGGAACAATCCCTGCCCTGGTCCTGCTGGCCACACTTGCTGATACAATTCTTTCTCATTGGAAAAAAAAGATATTGCAAGAGTGTATTCCTTATTTCCCTTACACATTTTAGTCTTTGCTAGTTATAACTAGGAGGTGGAAGAGACCTTTGGGGGAGATTCTTCTCTCTTCTATTTTTTACCAGTTTCTTCATTTCACCCACAAAAATGTGTCTCATCATCTATTCCCTTCAGTTTATTTTCTTCTCCATACCTGTTTCTTAATCGTCTTGGTAACTGTTTCCATAGTGTCCTAGTAAACACTAATATTAGAACATGTTTTCTGATTTTTTTTTTCCCAGAGAGATGATAGAACACATTCTTTTAAGCTATGGCAGGAAATATGTTGATGATGGTAAGTTTGGGAATGATAACATGGCTTAACTTTGCATAAAAGAAATAATTATTAGTGTGGAAATGTAGGTTTTTGAAGAACGGCCGAAACAAGTGACTCTGCTACAGTACAAACGAGAGAGGGAGGAGGGAGAAAACTGGCTAAAAATCAGTACAATTGTTAAAGGAATTTTCATAGGTAAAAAAGGCTATTAAACTGTACAAGCCAATTGTGAACAGAGGTACTGGAACTGATTTGTTAGGTGTGTACAAGCCATAATTTCGTGACTAAAGAGAGCTCACTAGTAAAATTTAGATGACATCTCTCATTAGATACCCTAGAAGATCTCAGATATTTAAGTAATTAATTGTGCTATTATGAGTAGTCAATGGCATGAATTCAGCTTGCTTGGAGTAGGTATCTGCCTGTGATCTCTTGAACTGCCCCACAAGATCTGCTGGTTGTAGGGATTAGATTTGCATTGTCCATCTCATACACAAATACAATACTGCACTGCTGTAATTCAGTCTGAATTCTTCCCCACAGTGGCTTTCATCTCACCTTTGGCTGAAGCAGGAGTTGCACTCAAAGAACATAAGGAAGTCATTGGAGTGACAACAGACTCTTGTCTTAATGTATTTAGGCAGTTTGCACAAGGAACAAGTCTGAATTACACAGAGGTGGCTGAAACAATAGAAGGAAGTGTTTATACCTGATTTGGGTCAGAAATTTTAGCCAAGTCACTGTGAGAGAAAATGAAATCTCATCTCTTCATAATCCCATTAGGGTGATTAAAGAAGTGAAAGTTTTGTTTACAAGCCATTCAGAAATAGGAATGAGAGCTGGAGGAGGAACAGTACACTGAAAGGGGAAAACATGGAGGGCAAACACATTTATCGATACAAATTAATACTGTAGTTGGGACTGTACTGCTGTGTTCTGCATAATTTGTTCCTGAGAATGAGAAGATACCCTAATTTATCCAAATTAATACCAAGTCAAATTGCTTCCCAAGGAGAAAAAAAAAAGGATGCTTGGTGTATAGAAGACTGTAGAACAAAATGGAAATACAAGGCTGTTCTTTTATCAAAAGGCAAGAACCCAAGATAACTTAGTTTTTGCTTCTTGGCAGGGGAGGTTTTCTTTGAAATGCATGAAGATAAAATATGCAGAGCTATAGCACAAATGCTTTTGCAAAATGCAGTTAAATTCAATCTATCAGAGTTTGAAGAAGTCTGGCAACAGAGTGTCCCTGAGGGGATGACAGCAAGGCTTGATCAGCTTCAGGTAAACACGTAAAGAAGGATGAATTATTTTGTGAATGGGCTGTAACTGACTTGTGTCATATACAGATTTTAGCCATTATTGGGTATTGTGTTGTTTCTGTCAGCTTTTGAGTTCAAGTATGCTTTATGATATCCTCAATAAGCACCAGTAGTCTGGAATCATAATTCAGGTTTCTGTAACTAAGGCACGTTTCACTGTTTGAAGAAAGGTTGCAGCTATAATTTACTACTTGTAAATGTGACTGGAACAGAAGCTGAAGCTGTTGTTGAAAAGATGGTAGTGACAGCCAGTAGAGTAGTAAGCACTACTGGAATCCTTTTGCTTAAAGCAGGCAGAGAGATGTTGGAACCCAGTGGATTCTCCCTTTCTTCTTATCGTAAAATAAATGATAAATACTGCCTGTAAAACAGTGCCTTTATGATACTTCTTCACTTTGCCTCTGGTAGTGCAGTTCTAGAAGGCTTTGGATCTGCAAAGAGCAACTTGCATGGGATGTTGTCAGAAAGAAGGAAGTTTAATTGTTTTGCCAGTACTCTTTCTTTCATTTCTGATACTGTTCTGCAGGGCTTGGCTCTTGTGGATAGAAGTTCAAGACCAGAGACCATCTTTCTGCTGAAAGTGGAAGACTTACCTGAAGACAATCAGGAAAGATTCAACAGCTTATTTGGCATACGGGAAAAGTGGACAGAAGTGGATATTACCCCTTATATACAGTAAGGATGTATTTATTTTTATTAAAACATAATTAGTACCATATTCTTCTCTTTTTGTATAGCTGGCTTCTGATGAGCCATCACTGCCTCAGTGATACTTTATACTTTGCATTTTAAATTTAGTGGATTCTTTATGAATAGAATACCCACCTCTGGAATCTGTAACTCTCTTTTTTTGGACTTAAATGTGTGTAAAAAGTTGATCCTACTGGGTTTAAATGGGTGATAATTCTCATTTGATTAAAGCAGACAATTCAAAGGCTAAACTTGCTGACATTTACACTATATTTACAACACTAGAACTATAAAGCAATAGTGCTTCCTGTACTGCATCCGTTGTTCCTTTGGTAGTTAAGACTTACACTGCACATTATCTGGAATGTCCAGCTGTGATATATGTGAGAAGATGTTGATGCTGTCCCAGAGGTAACTGCATCAACCCTTTATGAGTGGCTCTAAATTTACTGTAATATAACTGAATTGTTCAGAGCTAGCTAGATTGAAAATTCTGTTGGAGAACAGTAAGAATAAAACTCTGCCTAATACCCCAAATTATTTTTCTGAAGTAGTGTAGTTTTGTCTAGTGTGTAAATGTCAAGGTAAGTTCTAAACTTGAGGTAATTTAAAGTATGTGACAGTTACAGTAGTTCTGGTTTTTTTTCCTAACATCCAAATCCAGTTTATTGCTGTAGTTACAAATGTTTTACGGATTCATTTTGTGTGATAGTATCTCTAAATTTTCTAAATGCCAATGTCCTGTGCTTTATTTCCTCTGTAGAGACTTGTGTGCAGAGAAGCAGACTGTTGGTGCTCTTCTGACAAAATATGCTCGCTCCTCAATGCTGAATGGTGTTAAAGTTTATAATTCTAGAAGACCCATCTCATAACAAGTATTGTTTGAAGAACTGAGGCTACTGAATGTAGTAACAGTGAATGTTACTTGCTGCTGCCTTCTGGGGAAAAGAGTGGCCATCATTATACAGTGTACTTACAGGCTATTTGAATATGTTGTATTCTCTGCTCAGCTAAGCAGAGTGTGAGGACACTTGTGGCCTCTGAGGAATGATATTCAGCTCACCTTCCTTTGCCAGCCTTCTTTGCCAACCTTCCTTTGCCCAACTTCTACTTCTTGAATACACATAATCTTTTTATCCATAAGTCTGAAACAAATATTAAAAACTTCCTTGATAATAATTCAATCAATTCAATTGAATAGCAAAATAGAAATTTTAGTCTTCTGCCCATTAGTGGCCATTCTTGAAGATTAGGGTTTCAATGCAGTGTTCACATTTTGCACAGCAGAGAACTCATCAAGCTCATGAACAAATCATTCCCCACTGAGACTACATCAGTCTTGATTTTGAAAAGTGGTTCCTTTTAAGGTCATGTCTATGAACAACATCAGCACCTGTCACTTTAATACTTGGCAGAATGGCCTTATGTATATTGCCAAAAAAACCCTAATTGCAGCGAAGTGTGAATATAAGAGAGAGAAGTTGGATGATGTGTTACAAATTTCCTATAACCTGTCATTAAATGTAGCTGAGGTAAAACTAATGCTTTACAGAAGAGTACTTGTGTTTTTTTAAAAAGAACCTACAAAACTTTGTAGTACAATTATTTTTTTAAAACTTTGTTAGGGCTCATGACAGCACATAGAAATTGTGCCTTACAGTTTTGTAATGATAATACTGTTGTATGTAAATGAAACAGAATGTTTTGATGATACTGCCATGAAATGGTGTACCTGAGATGGTAATCTTGTGATCATTAAAAAGGATTGTTTGCATGTCAGTAAACCAGAGTTTAATATTAGATCGTTTTCAGGTTTATATTTTAAGCTTAACAGTCGTTGCTTATTTGATACAAAAAGGATTCTTTCATCAGACTCAGATGTGAGGTAGGAAATACCTTGGAACTGCCAGCATTCCAGCTGTAGAGTGAGTGGGGAGAGTAGAGAAACTCCTCCTAAATCAAATGTAACTCAAGCTGCACACTGTGTGTGTACTTGGAATATGGTACAGATAAAACACTGAATAAAAGCTTCTTCCTGAGCTCTGTTTATTGTTGCCCAGTGCTGCAAGGTCAGTGTCCTGTGCTGCACATTGTTGGTGCAGGGCTGTGGTGTTTGACCAACTGTGTGATGTAGAAGGGCTCTCTGCTGGGAAGGACTGCTTTGTTTGCTGTCTGGTTCCAGCAGCTCCGGTCCCCCAACAGCAGCAGCAGGTTCAGTCCCAGAGATCAATGGTTATATGAACAGAAAAGCCTTGGAAATTCCCTCCATTGCATCACAGAAGGTCCCTTAGTTGAAATATGCAACACAATTTATACTTTTATATTTGTGCTCCAAGTTTGTATTTACATAGGTGTTTCTTTGTAAAACAAATCAGAAATTAAGTATTTAATGAATAGAACTTTTTTACGGCTATGACAGGAGTTTTTTTACATTAATTTTGTGTGTGTAATCATTCCATGTGTGCAGTGCTCCTGCTTGGTTTTGTTACACATTGAAAAATGAAATGACCCTTTCAAACTCCTACCAGTTTCTTCGATGCAAGCATTTATTTTAACCTGAAATACATTAATCTGAAGTTACTTATAACAACCTTGGTTATAAAGGAACTATATCTCGCGGCCTCCTTCTCCCACCAGTGGCGCCCCCCGTAAGGCGGCAGGCGGAGCTCGCTGCGGGCGCGCGCCGCTCCCGCCGCCCCTTCCCGCCTTAAGCCCGCCCACCCGCGCCTGCGCGAGCTGCGGCGCCTGCGCACGGGGACACGGCGCGGCCCCTTTCTCGGCTTTTGGGTGGTTCGGGAGGGTTATTTTATTCTTTCTTTTTTTTCTTCTTCTTCTCTCCGGCCGCCGCTGCCGCCGCTGTAAAAAGCAGCTGCCTTTCTGTAAAAAGGAAAACTCCAGCAGCCTTTCCCGCTGAAGTGACAGAGCTCAGTCAATCGGGCCGTGACCTCTCACCCGCGGGTCGGAGGTGACTGCCAAGATGGCGGCGGCTGCGGAAGATCCGCGGCGGGCGCGCTGCTGAGGGAGACCCGCGGGGCTGACCCTGCCCCGGGCCCGGCCACCGCCCGGCCCGCTCCACCCTCTGCCAGGCCTTTCCCGGCTCTCAGCGGACGGCGCTGCCCCAGCCGGCGCTCCCGGGAGCGCGGACCCCGGTGCCTGCCCGGCCATCCTGGCCGCGGCCCTCCTGATTCCGTCGCTCCCGCCGCCCCTGCCCGCTGAGCCGGTTGTTTTCCGTAGTTCCCGTGGAGAGGAAGCTCGTCTGGACTGGTTCCGTAAGCCCAGCAGACCGAGGGGCTGCGTGTGCACCCACGGGAGGTTTTACACAAACACTGCTTGGTGGTGGTGCTGTAGCGATGGCGCTCATTGGAGCTGAGGATTCCTGACTGCTGGGGGGTCACACATCGCTGAGGAGATGAGAGATCAAATCCAGCGTGACACGGGGGAAAATCGAAGGACCCGCTGAGTGAGGATGATGTTGGTGCCAGTCTGACGGTCAGCAGAGTGCGTTTAGTGCTGCGGTTCAGGATGAATAGGAAGAAAGGAGACAAAGGATTTGAAAGCCCAAGACCCTATAAATTATAAGTATCCATTTTTTAAAATTGTTGTACTTGAAACCAATGCACACTGAATCAGGCCAAAGGCTGATTATAATGATTTATTTAAGAAGGAGCTGTTGCTTGTGGTGTAGCTTGCTTTCAGAAAAGGTGTGTTGCGGATAAATGTTTGAGTGTGGTAAATGGACTTACTCTTGGGCAGCAAGTCTTTCAAACACGCGGTCTCATAAAGATATTTACATTATGCTCTTCAAACTTAGGACATCTCTTCACACAGTGCCAGTACTAAAGACCACACTACGATGTTCCATATGTACTGGTGTATCAAAAAGCCCTTTTAACTTAAGGGCTTTTTATGTGTAAAAAAATGTTTGCATTTGCAGCAAGCCGCTTTGTTAAGCAAATTGTCGTTTTCACACATTCACTATTTGGCTTGTAACCAAGCTACAAAGCAGTTGGTGGTGGATTTCAGTACATTTTAATAGATGTCTTGTTATACCTCTTTGATTCCTTTATAAATCTGTTACACAAATGTATTGGTAAGTAGAATCAGTCTTCTCATGCACACTTAATGTAAGTAACGTCTGAATCTGTTTTTAGATGTAATTCTCTTATAAGAATTTTTTTATCTCATCTGGAGCAATGTCAGTTCTTAATGCACAGGATATGTGCAGATAAAGCATGATGTGTCACAGAAGTTGAATTACTTCAAGGTTTTGTCTTAAGTCATGAAATGCACTACTGTAAAGATGACACCCACTACAGAAAATTGCATAGAAATAACTTACAGGATTTTTAAAAAGTTGGCATTATATTATCTCCTACCTTTTCAATTAGTTTTATTTGCCAGGAGTTCTGATATGTCACTCAAAATTTAAACAAATGCATTTGACTAGTATAAAATACCTATCTTGATTCATGCATTGGCATTATTTTAAATTATAAATTTTTATGGCATGCTAATTGTAAAAGCACATACTATATCTTTTAATGTGTAATGTCTGCTTATATAAATGATGTATGAGTGTCAACTTTCCACAGGTTTCTGATTGCAAGTCTTAGAGCTCATGCCATTACTGATACTGCTCATCACTAGTGTTAGACCTGGACACTGCCTTTTGTAATTGTTTATTTTTACATACAAATAGGTGTTGTTCAAAAATTTTGTTATCTTCCTGTATTACTGGTAGTGTTCATCCTGGTATGATACTGTGTTTTATTTTTTTGGGGGACTTTCCTGACATTGTGGATAACTTCTGTTCATTATTTGGTTTAGACCGCATAAAAGATTGGGACAATCACTAATGATTTTTATAGAAGTATTTTCTATTGGCTGTATTTATGTACATATATCCTCTGTGGCTCTCTGTTAAACTGGGTTAAAGTATTATTTTAAATGCTGGCATTTGTGCAAAACCTTACTTTATTTTTTTTGGTTTTTTTCTTCCAGCACAACTCATCAGGTAGTTTGTATCAACAACATAAATTTTCAGAGAAAGTCTGTTGTAGTAAGTATTTCTTAATAAAGTGTGAAGTAGAAATTAAGTGTCTGGATTTTCTTCATACTTTTAGAGGAAAAAACTGCACTCACAAGCTGTTTATGCTGTTCAACTACTTTATATATTATACTTTCTAATCTGATGCTTCTCATAAGTCTGTCATTGCTTGAGATAAAGTTCTTTCTAACTGTGAGCACTTCTAGAAAAAGATTCTAAATGAAAGCTGCTGCATTGTAAATATTACGGAGCAATTTGCAGTTCAGAATTCATGCTCACACTGTGTTAGCTGATGTTTGGGATAGACTTACGGAGTTTCCTACCTTGTATGTGAGTTCATTTGGGCTTTGAAGAGACTTGTATCATTTCAGGCCTAAAGTCTTCAAGGGTCTTTGTCAGTTTATGTATCTGTTTAAAAGGATTCTGCTTAGGTTTTAAGAATTCTTGTCTCAAATTCAAGTACCAAAACATAGTGATGCTAATAACTTGAAATCTAGTCAATAGAAGCAGATTTTTTCCAGTAAAACAGGCATGATTGTCAGTCACATTGGATTTTTTGTTGTGTCTGTTTCATTTACAGCTGTGAAAATTCACCTGTTAAATGGCATGAAAGAAAATGTAGAAAATCTAAAGGGCAATTAATTTCCCTTTTTAAATATGAAAATATCATCTTTATACCAGTCATTTTTTTAAATTGTATTAATAATAATTATTTTTATATCTCTCTAGTTTTTAAGTTGTTAAAGATTTTACAGAAGATTTTGATTTGTGTTTTCATAGGGTTATGTGGAACTCACAATATTTCCCACAGTGGCAAACCTGAACAGAATCAAGCTGAACAGTAAACAGTGCCGCATTTACAGAGTGAGAGTCAATGATTTAGAAGCAGCTTTCATCTATAATGATCCCACACTGGAGGTCTGTCACCATGAGTCAAAGCAGTAAGTGGTGTGTTTAAGACTCTACAGATGGAGTGTTTTCTGTTGCTCTTAAGTATAACCTATTCTCTTTTACAGTCAAGTTTTACCTGGTAATTTCCTAATGGTAACTTTTGGTCTGGTCTAATTTTGGGGAGGTATTTTGGCAATAATTTTGACTCTTACACTAGTCTTCTTGTTTCTTGTGCTCATTTATCTTTGTATTGTTTTGTGAAAGTATCAAAAAATTTTCTATCAAGTACTTCATGGGGAAATAAGGCCTTGGATTTGATCTGTGTGCTTGAGACAGACACTGTCTATTCCTTTTTCATCAATTATGCAAAAGCTTCAATAATTCGGTTTGCAAATACAGTGTTCATTTATATAGGACACTGAATTTATTATCAGAGTTATGAAATTTTCTTTGAGTCTTGATACTGAACCACTTGAGTATATTAATTCCCTAATTCTGTTTGCTTTGTGACTTGGTGTTTTTGTTGTTGACACTATTGCTCATCATGTCAAAAATGCAGAATCCTTTATTGTAGGGATTCCAGACTGTTGTGAAGTGCTAGAAAGTAAAGCTTTTGGCCTTTCCTAAGGAATCAAACTTTCATTATTTATTGTTGTAGATAACAGTATAAGTCCTAGAACCTGAACTCACTCCAAAATTTGAAAGGAAAAGTTTCAAATTTCTTCAACGTCTCATATTGAAGAGTATGTTCAAAATCATGTGGCATTCTGTATGTTCTAGGGAACTGATATGGGAAGGGGCTTTAGCAAAAGATCTTGTAGCCATTTCATTTTTGGTGAGAGCATGATGGGCAAATGTTTTTCCTAGACAATCTCTTTTGATTTGCTGGAACATTCATATTCTCACACCTTCTTTTGGCTGGCTTGGTTGAATTTACAATTTGCTGAATTGTTGAAAAACTTCTAGTGAAAGTATTGTTTAACAGCAGCTGATTAAAAAAATCAGTCCTTCAGGCTGCAAAAGACTGGCTGAAATAATCTAGTCCAGGTCCCCTCAGGGTCAGGTAGAATTGATTCCACAGGGCTGTGTCCATTTGGATTTTGAGTATCTTTGGGGATGGAATCTCTGCAGTTCTCCAGGCAACTTTGTCCAGCGTTGATGACCTTCTCAGTAAAAAGCATTTCCTCATATTCTGATAGAATTTCATGTATTTTAGCTTACATCCACTGACAGGAGCAGACACAGTGGGCATGAACTGAGACATAGGAGGTTCCCTCTGAACATCAAGAAACAGTTTTTACTGTGAGGGTGACTGAACACTGGGACAATTTATTCAGAGAGATTGTGGAGTCTCTATCCTTGGCAATATTCAAGTCATCTGGATGTGCTCCTGAGCACCTGGTTGTAGGTGACCCTGTTGGAGCTGAGGGGTTGGACCTAGAGGACCTTCAGAAATTGCTTCCAACTTCAGCC